TACATTGAAACACAATGACCATTATTCTCCCTAACAACTTTGAACTCTTGAGCATAGGATTCAGTTAAAGTGTGATGAAAATTCGAGAAGATGGTTTCTTCAATGATCAAGTCTTGTCTGGTGCAGTTACTTGCCAGGAAATCCTTAACTTTTGCCTAGGTTTCCCTTACGAGTTTTCAACCTACCGGAAAAATTTATTTTGTTTATGTCTCTAACTTTTTCCTAGACCACCCTTTCGAGTTTTCCGCCTACCGAGACGCTCACTTTTTCCTAAGCCACCCTTTTGGGTTTTCAACTTAGTGATCTGTTCTTTTATTTCTTTAGGCGAAGTATATCTTGACTGCGTAAGCATTCATGGGACGTGGGAACTCCTCACCATCCATTGTTTCAAGAATCAATGCACCTCCAGTGAAGGCTTTCTTGACAACTAATGGGCCTTCATAATTGGGAGTCCACTTGCCCCTAGAATCAGTATTAAAAGACATGATCTTTTTGAGCATGAGGTTGCCTTCTCTGAATTCACGAGGCTTGAACTTCTTATCAAAAGGTTTCTTCATTCTTTTCTGGTATAACTGACCATAACACAAGGTTGTCATTCTCTTTTCTTCAATTAAATTCAATTGGTCAAACCTATTCTAGACCCATTCAACCTCTAGTAACTTGGTTTCCATTATTACACGCAAAGAGGGAATATCAACCTCAATAGGTAGCACTACTTCCATACCATACATAAGAGAGAACGCGGTTGCCCCTGTTGAAGTGCAGACGAATGTACGATACCCATGCAAAGAAAAAGGGATAATCTCATGCCAATCCTTATAAGTAACAACCATCTTCTGGATAATCTTCTTAATCTTTTTATTAGCAGCTTCAACAACCCCATTCATCTTAGGCCTGTAAGGAGACGAGTTGTGATGGACAATCTTGAATTATTCACAAAGTTTTGTCATCATTTTATTATTCAAATTTGAGCCGTTATCAATGATAATCCTACTTAGCACACCATAACGACATATAAGATTGTTCTTGATAAAGTGTACTACCACCTTCTTGGTGACATTAGCATAAGCAGTTACTTCCATTCACTTGGTGAAGTAGTCAATTGCCACTAAGATGAAACGATGTCCATTCGAAACCTTCGGTTCAAACATTACAATCATATCAATACCCCACATAGAAAAAAGTCCATGGGGAAGAAATAACATTGAGAAGTGTTGGAGGCACATGAATCATGTCAGCATAAATCTGACACTTATGGCACTTTTTCGCAAATTTTTAATAGTTAGATTACATTTTCAGCCAATAGTAACCTGCCATAAGCATCTTCTATGCGATCAAATGTCCTTTGGCATGGGTACCAAAGGAACCTTCATGAAGCTCATGCATTAAGATGTCTGCTTCGTGTCTATCCACACATCTGAGCAAGACCATGTCATAATTTCTTTTGTACAACACATCTTCATTGAGGAAAAAGCAACCTGCCAACCTTCTCAACATCTTCCTATCTTTATTCAACACACCGACCTTATATTCTTAAGTCTGGAGGAAATGCTTGATATCATAATACTAAGGTTTTTCATCTGACATCCCCTCTATAGAAAACACATGAGCTGGTCTATCAAGATGTCAAACTGTAATCTGAGGTACATCATTCCAAGCATTCACTTGGTACATGGAAGCCAAAGTGGCCAATGTACCTGCCATCTGATTTTTGTCTCTGGGAATATGATGGAACTAAACCTTATTGAATAAAGGTAATAATCTTCTTGCATAATCTTTATAGGGAATCAAGCCAATGTGAAGAGTCTCCCATTCTCCTTTGATCTGATTTATTACCAAATCTGAATCACCATATACATCAAGAATTTTGATTCTGAGATCTATAGCTTCTTTAAGACCCATAATACAAGCTTCATACTCTGCCATGTTATTGGTACAATCAAATGTCAACCTTGCAGTAAAATGGATATGAGACCCATGGGGAGTAATAATCACAACACCAATTCCTTTTCCATAAGCATTTACATCTCTATCAAACACCACACCCCATCGAGATTCGGGATTAAGACCTTCTTCAGGAAAAGGCTCATCACAATCTTTTACTTTTAAAAACATCACATCTTCATCAGGGAAATCATACTTAACAGACTGATAATTATCAACCGGTTGGTGATCATGGTACTCTGCCAACACACTGCCTTTAAGAGCCTTTTGAGTATAGTATTCAATATCATATTCAGACAACAACATCTGCCAACGGGAAATTCTTCCAGTAAGAGTAGGATTTTCAAAAATATACTTAATTGGATTCATTTTTTAAATCAACCAAGTAGTGTGAAAAAACATATATTGTCGTAATCGCTTCGCCGTCCAAGACAAAGCACAAGTGTTTTTTCTAGCATATAATATTGTGACTCGTAGTCAGTGAAATTCTTGCTCAAATAATAAATTGCATATTCTTTTCTTCCTGTTTCATCTTGTTGTCCCAAAATACAGCACATGGAGTTATCCAACGCAAATAGACACATAATAAATGGTATTCCTACAATAAGAGGGAGAAAGATAGGAGGCTCAAGCAGATACTCTTTAATGCTTTCAAATGCCCTTTGGCAATCATCCATCCACACATAACCTTGATCTTTCTTTAACAGCTTGAAGGTTGGTTCACATTTTGCAGTCATATGGCAAATAAATCTGGAAATGTAATTTAAACGTCCAAGGAAGCCTCTAACTTTCTTTTTAGTTCTTGGCGTGGGCATTTCTTGAATTGCCTTAACTTTATTAGGATCAACTTCAATTCGTCTTTGGCTTACAATGAAACCTAGCAACTTTCCTGAACGAACACCAAAAGTACACTTATTTGGATTCAAGTGGAGACAATACTTCCTAAAATGCTGAAGCAATTTCAACAAGTCTTCCATATGCCCTTCCTCAGTCTGAGATTTGGCGATCATATCATCAACATATACTTTAATTTCCTAATACATTAGATCATGGAATATGGTTGTTATAGCCCTCTAGTACGTTACACCAGTGTTCTTCAACCCGAAAGGCATCAATCTGTAACAGAATGTTCCTCAGGGTGTGATAAATGTTGTTTTTTCCATCTCCTCAGGTGTCATCCTAATTTGATTGTATCCGAAAAATCCTTCCATGAATGAGAACACTTTGAATTTTTATGTGATATCAACCAACATATCAATATGGGGAAATGGGAAATCATCTTTTGGACTCGCTTCATTTAAATCTCTATAATCAACAAACATGCGGACTTTTCCATCTTTCTTTGGTACTAGAACGATATTGGCAATCTACTAGGGGTACACTAATGTCAAAAAAAAAAACAGCATCAATCTGCATGAAAACCTCTTTTTTAATCTTCATTGCCATGTCAGGTTGAGTTCTTTGCATCTTCTGCTTGATTGGTGAACATTCTGGCTTTAGCGGCAAATAATGTTCCACAATGTCGGTGTCCAAGCCAGGCATGTCTTGGTAAGACCAAGAAAATATATCAATATACTCTTTCAGAAACTCAATCAACTTTCTCTTCACCTCGGGATGAAGCAGTGCCCCGGTCTTGACTTCTTTCGAATCTTCTTCTGAACCCAAGTTAATTATCTCCAACGACTCTTTATACGGCTGAATGGTATTTCCCTCACACCTAAGCAACTGTGAAACCTCTTCTGGGATTTCATCATATTATTATTCTTTGCCCACATACACAAGATATTCAAAGTTGGGAAAGGGTGCAGGTCATTGCATTCAACGGGTTCTAGATTTGGACTCAGTTCTAAACAACGGGAAGGTGTTAGGAACCCCTTATCTACCTTGTTCACAAGGATACTAGGTTTAGAAGCGTGTCCTTAGGAAATAGGGTTTTTAATTTTAGTTAGGGGGACTCGCCACGATTTTAATTGTATGCCTATGTATCCTCTTAGGAGGAATCAGAGTCTTATTTCCTAGTTTGCGGTTGATTTGTGTTTTTTATGGATCACAAAATATATTTGAATTTCCCGCATACGTGGTATAAGAATATGAATAACAGAGTTTGTTAGACCAAGTGCACAGTTGATTTAAATATATTCGTATTCCTTTTTTTCGAAAATTAATGTTGAATTAATTTATTATGAAAAAAACAATTTGATGTTTGTATGAGCATTTTTTAGATGTAGAGCGAAGGAGCCTGATATAGCCTCCTCATCACATGGCCAGATATTGGTCACGTGTTGCTTGCAGATGTATTAATTTGGTGAATCGCGCGGGTTTTAATATTTTGATGTAAAATATTAAATTAATTTATATGGTGAAAAATGTTTTTACGTACATGATTTAAAAAGATACGATTTATTACAAGTAAACAATATTATGTTTTAAATCAGTTTCAAATAATTAATTATTTATAATTACAAATCATAATATAATTTTATAAAAAATATAAATATATAAATATATAAAAATATATAAATATATAAATAAAAAAAAATAAATGAAATTATAAAAGAAAATAAATAAATAAAAATAAATTAGTTGGGAGGTGCAAATTATATTATGGTAGTAAAATTGTGGGGGTACTATTAGGAAGGGCCTGGATTCAGATTTTGAATTCAGACCCAAGAGGCCAGAGGTGTGTGTTTTAATGCTACGTAGTAAAATTAGCGGGTGTGTGAATCAACAAAGCCCAAGTCCATATTTGGACTAGACCTTTTGAGGCTGGGGTTCAAAGATGCATGCAGTAGTAAAAACCAAACAAATAAGGGCGTGGATAGTGAATGGGCCTGGCCCAAAGGGTAAAGTGATGGAGGGAGAGGTCCGTTTGGACCATATATGGGAGGGCCTAGGCGTTATGGTGGTCGTAGGCATCTTAGGGGCGCGTGATTGCGATCTAGTGGATGAGATTAAGGGACATGGTTATTATGGTAGGATTGTGTGTATTGGATGATGAAGCTTTATTATATTCTCTAACAGAAACAACACCCCCCCCCCAAAAAAAATCTAAAACCTTAACACGGTGACGCAACATGAATCCTAGCTAAACCATTCCTCACTGATACAACCAACCCATCCCCACAACCTAAATTCGTGTAGCAAAACAAACCAATTCCAATTGCAAAAGCTAAGTACCGTAGTAATCTTACCTCTAACGCGTGTTTCTCGGTGTCTCTGAGATGCAATCTTGCTTGGCTAATCCTCTCAATCTTTGATTTGTAGGTGCGGCGGAGGAAATAGTGTCGTGGCGGAGGTTGAAAGGATCTTAGGGAGGACGAGTTATATGCTCTTATTTGGGGTTCATGAATCGGAGGGAGGTGCAGTTGGAGCTTCGAGGAAGATGAAGACTGCAAGTTAACAAAGATGATGGTAGATGTTAAGGGCGACGACTTCACAAATCTGGGATTTTGGATTTCGAAGTCCAGATTTGTCCTCTTATCCTCCTTCTGTATATTGTTTTCTTTGTAAAAAAAATTTGGCCTCCTCTTTACTGTAATTTCATCCATTTATAGTTCTTTAGATTTTAGTAAAATAGGAAGAATAGTCATGTGTCTGTGATTTCAATTCTTAGACTTAATTAGGGTTTTCAGAATTAGGAATGTTTTTGAATTCTTGTCTGTAATTTTAAGAAAGCTATTGAATTTCTGTATTTCTCAATGAAAATGTTTCTATTTTAGTTGAAATATGTTTATGCAATTAAGCCTTGTCTTGATTAGGCCCTGATTCGTTTCTGCATTTGATTATGTCTTGATTTCTCATTGAATAAAGATATGAATTCTTGCCATAGTGATGCGTTTTCACAAATGATCGAAACAATACCTGTTTTCATACCTTTGGGCCACACGTTTTGTAATGCGTTTGAGTTTTGTTTAGTTGAGCCATGCCTTTGACTTGGGCTTGCAATTTTTCTGATTCTCCACAAAAATATTGCCATCCTTTTGGGCCATAACAAGAAAAGACAACTCTTTACTAACACCCTTTTTTATCAATAAAACAAAAATCAATTTTCAATTATGTCTTTAATATAATGTTTTAATTGAAGTGGCATAATTAAAAATATTAGTGTTAACAATAGTACTAAAATATCAAGAATAATTAATTATAATGATAATGTTGTAATACAAAATAAAAAAATCAAACACTAATTGGGCCTCGTGCGTTTGGCCTGCTAATCAAAAGAACTTTCAGCATTCTTCTTTTAAACAGAAACCCACATCATTCTTAATTAAGAGTTTAAGATATAATATTATTGATGATGTTAGTAAAGAAAAAAATGAAATGGGCCAGGACTCCATTTAATTGGGCTTTAAAAAATGCGAAAAATTTCTTATATATCCTCCTCTTTAAAAAAATGGAAAAAAAAAATCATATGGGCCCTTTCAATTTTATATTGGGCCTTAACAATAAAGAAATGTTTCATCACTTTAAAAGGAATGTAATTTAAATGGGTCTTGTAAAAAAGATTGTTCACACCTCCCTCAAAACAATGGACTCTTATTATTTAATTTTTAAACCCCAATGGGTCATCAAATACTGGTGATCCATCTCAAATTAACACAACCATCTCTCATGTTTTGACCTCCCCATACAAAAAACCAAAATTAAATAACATGAATTTAAAGAAAACCTAAATATAATTAAGGGTAGGGCAAATTTGGGGTATGGCAGCTACCCCTATTTAATCGTCTTTCGATTAAATAGTGCGAGAATATGCAGGTCTCGCACATTTAATCGGAATTTTATTAAATATTGGAAAACCCCAAGATTTGTCTGATATATAATAAGGATACACTGTACAACGTTCCTACGAGTATGAAGAATAGGCATAGATGATGATGTATCATCCTGTCGGCGTTCGAACCAAAGTTTTGATAGAATTTAGACATGATGAAGCAGATAACTCGTCAGTATCTAAGAGATCGCAGAATTTTGCACATTTTACCGAGACTTGATAGCTGGAAGAAACATGTTAGGTTTGAAGCAATGGAACCCGAAATTCTCTGATGTCTTCGGTTGTGTCGTCCTCAACCAAAAGTTATCAATATGAAGAAAATAAACACCAAATTCATGATAAAGTCAGTTGTGTCTTCCTCAACCACAACTATTAACATGAAGCAAAAATACCCAAATTCGCAATGAAGTCGATTGTGTTGCCCTCAACCACAACTATCAACATGGAGAACACCGAATTTCATGATGAAGTCAGTTGAGTCATCCTCAACCACAACTATTAACATGAACAAAATATACCCCATATTTATGATGAATTGGTTGTTTCGTCCTTAACCACAACTACTAATATGAAGCAAAAATACCCCAAATTTACGATAAAGTTGGTTGTGTCTTCCTTTACCACAACTATCAACATGAAGAAAACCAAATTCATGATGAAGTCGGTTGTGTCGTCCTCAACCAGAACTATCAACATGAAGAAAATATACCCCAAATTTACGATGAAGTTGATTGTGTCGTCATCAACCACAACTATCAACGTGCAGAACACCAAATTTATGTGAAGTCGGTTGTGTCGTCCTCAACCACAACTATCAACATGAAGGAAGTAAACACAAAATTTACGATGAAGTTGGTTGTGTCGTTCTCAACCATAACTAGTAACATGCAGAACACCAAATTCATGATGAAGTCAGTTGTGTTGTCCTCAACCACAACTATCAATATGAAGAAAATAAAAACCAAATTTGCTTAAAGTTTGAACTATAAAGTTTGCGCATATAAGCCTGTTAATGATGAACCCCGAGAAAAATCGTAATTTTAACCAAAGTAGCTTTGCAAGATGTCCTGCATGCATAACATCCTAAGTTGATGTGTTATCCAAGTGTGATGTATGCCCCAAATGTTTACAATGTGTATGTACAAAAATGCTTATGTGCTTATGCCCCAAATGTTTATATTCGTATGGCCTAAGTATGTGTATGCTCCAAGTATGTGTATTCCCCAAATGTATGTGTATGCCCCAAGTGTTTGTATATGCCCTGAATGTATGTATATGCCCCAAATGTTTTGCGAATGCTTTTGATAAATCTCTTTTGTTAAACCATCGGGTTCCCATAGTTACCAATTCCCTGACGGTGTTGGTTGCCCATTGTTGTATCTCCAAGTGGATTTGGATTTGGTGAAATATGTTAATAAGATCTTGATGTCTATATCATAGGCACAGGCGTAGGCATGGACGTAGACGTGGATTTTAGCGTCGATACTTGCATAGTTATAGACGTAGGCATGGGCGTAGAGATAGGCATGGACGTGGACGCATGCGAGGATTTTCCTTTGATGTTTTTTCTAAACAAAATGCTTTTGGATGTTTTATCAAATGCTTTTGTTGATATGTCAATACCCCAAAATGATTTCGAATAATATTCACAAAAAATAATTGTAGTATTTTGCAAGCAAGTCTAAAAAGAAAGCAACGCAATTGAAATATTTGAAAAATACTTCAATGTTTTTATTGATAAATATGCCTCTGAATAGGTAAGTGTACAAGATGAAATCCCTAGAAAGAGGTAATTACAGGGAAAAAACCTGTAAATGGCAATGAAAATGATGATTTCTATTGATATTTTCCCCAATATTCTCTTGGTAGCTCCAATCATCTTTGCTTTTGAGTTGGATGATTTAGACCAATCCCTTCCTTCGTGGTTCGTAGTCATGGTTCTTAGATTATAGTCTTTTTGTTCTTTATTTCTTTGAATGAAATCCCTAATTTTTTCCTGGATCTCCCTTTCGGGTTTTCAATCCACCGGGATAATTTTTTTGTGCATGTCCCTAATTTTTTCCTGGATCGCCCTTTTAGGGTTTTCAATCCACTGGGACGCTCCTTTTTTCCTAAGTCACCTTTTTAGGGGTCGAGCTTAGCGAGCTTTCTTATACATAGTATTTTTTACTGTATCTGTATTTGTTGGATGTGGTAATTCTTCCCCATCCATTGTTATGAGGATAAGACCACCATTGGAGAATGTCGTTTTTACCACAAATGGACCCTCGTAGTTGGTTGTCCATTTGCCACGTGAATCCGGACGAGGTAACAAGATCTTTTTTAGTACTAGATACCCTTATTTGAATACGCGAGGACAAACTTTCTTGTTGAAGTCTTTCTTCATCCGTTTCTGATATAATTGATTGTGGCACACAACTGTCAAACGCTTCTCTTCAATGAGGTTGAGCTGGTCAAGTCGTGTTTGAACCCACTCAGCTTCTTCGAGCTTTGTTTCCATTAGCACTTGGAGTGATGGAATTTCTATCTCAATTGGGAGTACCGCCTCTATGCTGTATACCAGAGAAAAAGGAGTTGCACCTGTTACATGTGCACAGAGGTACGATAGCCATGTAAAGCAAAAGGAAGCATTTCGTGCCAATCTCTATATGTATTCACCATCTTTTGAATTATTTTCTTGATATTCTTGTTTGCAGCTTCGATGGCTACGTTTATCTTGGGTCGATATGATGCGGAATTATGATGCTCGATTTTGAAATCGTCGCATAATTCTTTCATCATTTTGTTATTCAGATTAGACCCATTATCAGTTATGATCCTCTTTGGAACCCCATATATGTATATGATATTTTGCTTGATGAAACGAGTGACCACTTGGCTTGTCACATTTGCGTATGATGCTGCCTCTACCCATTTGGTGAAGTAATCGATTGCGACTAGTATAAATCGGTGTCCGTTAGATGCCTTCGGTTTGATCATACCTATTATATCAATTCCCCACATTGAGAATTGCCAAGGAGAGCTCATGACATTATGAGGAGTAGGTGGTACATTCATTTTGTCGGTATAGATTTGTCCTTTGTGACAGGTTTTTGTATAACGATAGCAATCTGCTTCCATTGTTAACCAATAATACTCTTCCCGTAGGATTTTTCTTGCCATAGAATGTCCATTTGTATGGGTTCCGAAAGTACCTTCATGGATTTCCCTCATAAGCGTATCCGCTTCTTGTTTCTTCACACACCTGAGTAGCACCATATTGTAATTTATTTTGTACAGTACATTACCACTTAGATATAATTTTCATGCTAGCCTTCATTGAGTTCGTTTGTCAATGATAGAGGCATTTTCTGGATATTCTTGTTTTTCAAGATATCTCTTAATGTCGTAGAATCAAAGCTTGTTATCTGGTCCTTCTTCAATATTGAGGCAGTGTGTTGGCTCTTCAAAATGTCTGATAGTGATGCGTGGCTCGTGGTTGGGCCAGGTTGCTTTAATCATAGCTGACAAGGTTACTAGAGCATCTGCCATTTGATTTTCTTCTCGCGGGATGTGGTTGAAATTAATTTCGGTGAATTCCGCAGTTAGCTTTAAGACATGACCCTGATATGGAATCAAGTTCTGGTGTTTGGTGTCCCATTCACCTTTGACTTGGCATATAACCAATGCAGAGTCTCTGAATACTTCAAGGTATTTGATTCTTAGATCAATGGCAGCTTCCAGACCTAGGATGCAAGCTACATATTCGTCAATATTGTTGGTGTAGTCGAAACA